TTTTACCAAATATAGTGGTGCCAGAAGAAATCAAGGATGTACTTATCTTGTTTAACGGACATGCAGTGGTCAGTATGATTTGTTGACCATTAAGGCACCTACCGGTACTATGTATTGTTTTTTTTTTTTAACCTCGAAGCTTGTTTGGTTCCTACAAACATGAATCTCTCACGGTACTATGTATTGTTTTGATCATAGGCACAACCAAAGGTTCTAGTTAAGAAATACTATTTACTGTAGCATACATAATACATGCATGTTTTGTACCGGAGACCGCATCATGCCGGATTTTCCCGCAACGTACCGGAAACCGACGAGCAGCATTGTGTTCAGAAAATCTGCACGTTGGGCAGCACCCCTTCCATCTCCCTTTGGTTCGTTATCCTCCCCGACCAGATTTTCCACCGCACCACCCTGACGTGGGGTTCCGTACACATGATGCGCACTACTGTAACAGGAACGGAGGCAACCGATAGTAGGTGCTGTCGACTGGTCATTGGCAGCGGCGGCACAAGACAAATCACGACGACGAAAATTACCTGAAAACTGAGAACTGTTGAAGTGTACCTTGGCTTTCCCGAGTCCTCTCCAATTTCACGTCCCCTGAGATTTTTCATAAATCACCCTTGACCTTTTTTGACTTCAGGGACCAGACATTCATGACATTAAGGCTATTCGTGACATTGTTTAGTGTCGATCGCTCGAAAATCCACTCAGTGGCTGCAGGGCCAGTACTGGATCCTCCGCTGCGACCATGTATTTTGTTTTCCTCCTGACTCGTGTGGGTAGTCTCGAACATTTTTCTACTTAAAGCCCAATCTTCCCGAATGACCCCCGATTTCGGGTAAACCAGAAAGGCTTGCTCAGGGGTGTGAAATTGGTACAAGCAACTGTTCAGAGCTCCGTGGCCCGGTCGAGGCCTGGTCCGGACGTGTAGCTGAACCGGAAAATACGTCCGGCCGGAACCAGTTTCGATGGCACAGACTGCACGGCATGGCAACCTTCAAATCCAACCTTCCACTGCTCCTCTTTCCCAATCTCCTGTCTGCTACAGTGGTGTCACTGGTGGTTCCGTCATGGGGCGTTTTGGAACTCACTTCCTCATGCTCCTGCTCTGTAACCTCAAGTCTGTAGGCAATTTCGGGTCCCAAGTTTGGGCTTCATGTTAGGAAAGTCGATCAGTTCTGCTGAGCCGCGTGGCTTTGAGTTGCGCGTTATTTTAGCTCCTTGCATTTCCGTTCAACTGTTCTAATGCTCAATAATCGTGTCGCGCTGTGTGCTCATCAGGTGTGGCGCTGTTCACTGCCGCCGCGTCGGCATCGCTCCTCCCACGCATTGATGGCGGTACCGTTCCTCTCGCTTCAACCACTCAGACAGCCACGCCCCAGCAATTTCAAAAAAAAAAGTTTCGGTAAGATTTTCTTGCCGTGCAGAGCTCCTGAGAATAATATTACCGTAGATCTGCCAGGTTCCGCATTTCGTCCGTGCTGTCGCCCATGTTGTAGCCATAGCTCTTCTTCTCGGCTGTTCTTCCAGTGACTCTCTGACACCTAATTCGCCATTCTTATTTTCAGCCAAGTATGTGGCCAAGTTGCGACCAACTAAGTACGATAATAGAATAGTCGTGGGTGACAAAGGCGCATCGGGGATATTTGTCGCAAAGGGTATAAGGTACGTCTCCACGCAATTTTACTCGTGCTAGCAAATCAGGCAGGATATACTAACACGCAGCCTGTGTAGGTTAAGAGCAATCTTACCCTTCGTGACATTATGTCTTACTTCCTCATATCCTGTTTCGCAGGTCCGGTTCAAAGACAGCCTACGCCGTGTTACGCGTACTTTTTCGGAACCTCAAGTCTAAAGGAGCGTCGCCTTCACAGAGTCAAGGAGACACCTGCGATGTTATTTCCCTTCAAAATGACTCTAATAACTATCGAAATCTCACCACCGCGAAGGGTGGACGCCGTGGGCGCTACACGTTCGGATACACTATGCGTGTTGGGCCAGGGACGGAGGCGGAAGTCCGAGCTGTTATCGCGAATATCGTGTTTCAGGGGGCGTATGTGAGGGTGGGGCATCCAGAAAACTTGGTGGCACTCTGCGGGAGGTTGAAGAAAGCGGCGTAGGATTTAATGGCTCCTCCTCGTTCTTTCCTTCATTTGTTTAATTCATGTTTGATTTATTTTTGTGAATTAGGGCCAGGGGAGGGGGAGAGAGGGGGGGAGAGGGGAATGAGAGGGGAGGGGAGGAGGGGAGGAGGAGGAGAGAGGAAAAGAGGAGGGTGTGGTGAGGGTGAGGTGGGTTGTTTCGAGCCTCGTGTATATTCAATCTGTATGTTCAAAGGAAAGAAGTTAGTGTTGAAGATTTCTTAAAGAGCAACAATTGGCGAGCTTCAGAAGGTGATGTTATTTCCAGCCTCGTGTATATTGGATAGGTATTTTCAAAGAGTAATTTGGTTGACAGAAAAACTCATTACAGCCAGGCTGAAAAGAACTACCAGTAGTCAGTGTACCCTATAAGTGCAGGGTGCCCGGCAAATGAGCCAAGAATTCGGATATCCGAACAGCCAGTATGCGACATGACCTCTCAAAGCGATTCAGGGCCATTCCGGCCTTTGACGCGTCACAAAAGTATGCGCCACAACTGAGTGTACCGCTCTGTCTCGAACTACACCAAATTACAACTGAATTAGGTGCTGTTCAGTACAGAGCTGGTCCAAAGGATTTCGAAGTTATTTTTTGCGATTTGTCAAGGCCGGAATGCTCCCTCATTTACATATTGTCACCCACAGAATGCAGAGAATACAGAGGCCCTGGACGCCTACCGAGCAGGGGATGTGGCCATGGGGGATCAAACCCTGGTGCTGGCTACAACTTCTGCCAGACCCCGACCCGAGCTCAGCTCGGCTTGGAGTAGATTCACTCGCTGACTTAGGGAGCGGTGTTAGGTACAAGCGTTACTTATCCAGAAATGAGTCACTTCCGAAAGATGTGGTTCCGGGGGATCAAACCCCGGTGCAGTCTACAACTTCTACCAGTCCCCGAGATTGTGGTTTTGAGTGAACAGCGCGCCAGGTAAGCGTTTGGTTGACGATGCGCGTTTTAGGCGGCGGTACTACCACCCTGTACCCCTCCTTCCGTACTCCCACATCTACATTTTAGACTCGACACAGGCGTTGAATAGTTCTAGGGCACCGCACGGCAACCTTCATGCCTTACGCCCCTGACATTTTCACTCTCGTGTCTGCTACCACTCTTGGTTCCGACATGGGGCTTTGGGGAACGCACATCACCTTCCTGCTCTGTAAGATCAAGTCTCTGTAAGGCTCTGGTGTTACGGTTGATATTATTTCTGCTGAGCGTGGCTGGCGGCGGGGCGCTGTTTAGCTGCTTGCAATTTCGTTCATTTGTTCTTATGCGCAATCATCGTGTCGATCATCAGGTGCGGCGCTGTTCACTGCCGCCGCGTCTGCATCGCTCCTCGGAACATTCCTCCCAGGCGGCAGCGTTCCGCTCGCTTCAACCGCTCAGGCAGCCACGCCCCAGCAATCGCAAAAACTCCGTAAGATCTTCGTGCCATGCAGAGCTCCTGATAGTAATTTTAGCCCTTCTAGATCTGTCACGTTCCGCATTTCATCTCGCCATCATGATGCCCCGTGTGGCGCTGTCGCCCATTTTGAAGCCTCTTCTTCTCGGCTGTTCTTCCAATGGCATTCTGACAAATATTTCGCCATTCTTATTTTCAGCGAAGTATGTGGCCAAGTTGCGTCCAACTAAGAAGAATAAATTGGTCGTGGGTGACAAAGGCGCACGGGGGAAATTTGTCATAAAGGGTATAAGGTACGTCTCCACACGCAGTTTTACTGCTGCTACTAGTAAATCTTATACCAGCAGTAACACATGGTTTGAATATACGCAATGAATCGAGTTGTGCTTTGAATGGTCCCCTTCCTGACATTGTGTCCTACCTCGTTCCTATTTCACAGATCTGGTTCTGCTACCTACACCAAAGTTGTTGCAATGTATTGGAACCTCAAGACTAAAGGAGGGTTGCCTTTAGAGAGGCAAGTGGATTCCTGCGTTGCTACTGGTATCTTTCTTTACGACGTAAAACCTTGGGTGAATTTCACCACCGCGAGCAGTCGTCCTGGGCGCTATTCGTTCGGGTACAAGATGCTGATTGGGCCCGGGTCGGATGCGGATGTGCATGCTTTTATTTCACATGCATGAAGTATGGGGCCATATACTAGAGTGGGGCATGGAGAAAACGTGATGGCTCTCTGCGGGAAGTTAAAGAAGAAAGCGTAGAAATGAGTGGCTCATAGGAAATTTAATAGGGAAAAGGAAATAATTCCTTGCAAATATGTATATGCTGCTGCTTTTGACTGTATTGTTAAGGTATTTGAAATCGCAGTACACTTGAAAGGGATTGAAACCATAACGCGTGCATTGGTGACACGGCGGTGGGTAGCGATTCTCATGCGCGAGACGGGGCTGGGTTTGGGTTTGAGGGGCGCAGGCGTGGTCCCAGGGTTGCGCGGCGCTGCGTGGTGGGGGCCGGGGCGGGGAACGTTCGCCAGCTGACTCCGCCGCCCGAATCACGCTAGGGCCTTGCAGGGTGGCGGCGAAATGGTGCTCGCGTGCGGGGGGAGGCGAGGCGACAGACCTTGCATCCGGTAGCGGACGCTGGTGGGATGGAAACTTGAAGCCACCAACGGGGAAAGTTAGTGGCTTCGGAGCCACCAACACCCAGATGGAATATGGCATCAAAACGATGTGGTCCTGGGAGATCAAACCCTGGAGCTTGCTACAACTGCTGCCAGTCCCCCAGATGGTTGGTTTGCACGAGCTCGGAGTGGGATGGATATGCCGAACCTCGCTGACTTAGGGAGCGGCATTAGATACAAGTGTTTTCTTATCCGGAAATAAGTCACTTCGGAAAGATGTGCTTCCGGGGGATCAACCCGGTGCCGGCTACAACTTCTGCCAGTTCCCTAGATCATGGTGGTTTTCACGAGGTCAGCTCGGAGTGATGTGGATATGCCGAACCTCGCTGACTTAGCAGCGAGCGGCGTGCCAGGTATGCGGCGTTTTTTCATCCAGAAATGAATCACTTTCAAAAGTTGTGGTTCCGGGCCGGGATGGAACCCCGGTGTCGCCGGCTACAACTTATGCCAGTCCCCGAGATTGTGGTTTGAGCGAAGCGCGCCTGGTAGTTGAAGCGTTTGTGGTTGACGATGCGCGTTTCAGGCGGCGGTACCCACCCTGTACCCCTCCTTCCGTTCTCCCACATCCACATTTTAGACTCGACACCCAAGTAGTATAAAGTAAGGGGCGTCGAATAGTTCTAATCAGCACCGCACGGCAACCTTTTAGTAAGGCCTTCTACCTTCTTGACTTTCCCACTCTCGTGTCTGCTAAGTACCACTCTTGGTTCCGTCATGGGGCGTTGGGGAACACACATCATCCTCCTGCTCTGTAAGCTCAAGTCTGTAAGGCTCTGGTGTTACGAGTGATATTAATAGTTCTGCTGAGCGTGCATTGAGTGGCGGCGCGCTGTTTAGTTGCTTGCAATCTTCGTTCATCTGTTCTCATGCTCAATGATCGTGTCGCGCTGTGTTCCCGTCAGGTGCGGCGGCGCTGTTCACTGCCACGTCTGCATCGCTCCTCGGATCATTCCCCCCACGCGATGATGGCGGCAGCGTTCCTCTCGCTTCAATCAGCGTCCCTCTCGCTTCATTCCGTAAGATCTTCGTGCCACAGATCTCCTGATAGTAACTTAACATTGAATCTTGTCAGGTTCCGCATTTCATCCCGCCAGTGATGCCCCGTGTGACGCTTTCGCCCATACATAGCTCTTCTTCTCTTCTGTTCTTCTAATGACTCTCTGACACCGCCAGCAAAGTATCTGGCCGACTCGCGTCCATTTTGGAACGACTGAAAACGATTTCAATTACTCCCTGACACTTGTTTTCTCCATTCTTGTTTTCAGCGACGAAGTATGTGGCCAAGCTGCGTCCAACTAAGTTAGGTAAATCGATCGTGGGTGACAAAGGAGCACGGGGGAAGTTTATTATAAAGGGTTACAGGTACGTCTCCATGCAGTTTCACTGCTGCGACTAGTGAATCGTATTATATGGGGTCTGAATACCAGCAGTCACACATGGATTGATTTGAATATCCGCAATGACTCGAGTTGTGCTTTGAATGGCCCCCTTCCTGACATCATGTCCTACCTCGTTCCTATTTCACAGGTCCGGTGCAGATTCCTACGTCAAAATTCTCGGAATGTATTGGAACCTCAAGTCTAAAGGAGGGGTTCCGTATGAGAGTCAACTGAGTTCCTGCCTTGCTAGTGGTATTGTCTCTATCGGCCTCCCTAAATCTTGGGAGAATCTCACCACAGCGAGTAGTCCTCCCGGGCGGTACTCGTTTGGATACAAGATGCTGTTTGGGCCCGGGCCGGATGCGGATATGGGTGCTATTATCGCGGATGTACTGTCTCAGGGGGCATATACCAGAGTGTGGCATGGAGAAAATTCAAAGGCTCTCTGGGAAATTGAAGAAGAAAGCGTAGAAAGGGTTTACTTTCTTTGTTCCTTGTGTCTGTTTTTTTTTTCGGAAAAAGGGGAGAAGAAGGGGGGAGAAGGATGGAGGTTGGGGGAGTAGGAGAAAGGGGAGGTTTTAATTTTATTTTTAGCCTGGTGGTGTGTTGTGTAGCATCTGTTTGAAAGCAGTGTTGAATTTTTTTGAAGCATCAAGCAGTGCTGGATAGGAAAGTAACCAACCAGTCACATACTAGTATCAATGTTGCATAATCCAAGAAGATTTCAGGAGGAATGGTGGGAATTAAATCCAGATTGGGGCTGTGTGGAATCGAAAGAGATGTGGCAGACATGGCAAGAATACACGTAACAATCTCACCAACCAGCTTGCCTGCTGGCTTGAGTCCCTTAAAGGTAATTTCCATCTTATAGCCGACTCTCATCTCAATCTGGTTTACGGTGCAGACGTGGCAAGAATCCTCATGATGATTCCAACCGCCAGCGTGCGGCCGCCCTCTCTCAGAGCGATGCGGCCAAATGCACGGAAGTCTGAGTAGGCTTCCAGGCACACGCCACGGTCCAAAGACAACTGTGAGTGTGTCAGGGAACGTGGAGGTGAAGGGTGGGGAGGGGGAGTGGTAATGACAGGGCAGGTGTAAACGCACGGAAGTCCGAATATGCTTCAAGGCACACACCCCGGTCCAGAGACAACTGTGAGTGTGGGGGGAAGGTGGTGTGGGGAGGTGGTGGGGGGAGTGGGCAGGTAAGGACAGGTCAAGTTCAAGGTACGACTATTGAGGCGCCTCAAAAGTTCAAGGTAATCAAAACGCCTGCCCTGGTCCAGAGACAATAGCAGGTGTGTAGAAGAACGTGAGGAAGGGGGGAAGTGGGGGAAGTAATGGTAGGTCAAGTCCCATTGCAGGGAAGTTTTGAGTAGGCTTCGAGGCGCACGCCCCGGTCCAGAGACAACAGCAGGTGCGTGTGAGATGGTGGTAGGCGAGACCAGGAGAAGTACTGTCAGGGCAGGTTCAGACGCACGGAAGAGTGAGTAGCCTTCGAGGCACACACCACCGCCACGGTCCAGACAGAGACAACGGTGGGGCAGAGACAGGGTGGTTTTGAGTCTGCTTTTGAGTCGACTCAAAAGAGTGAGTAGCCTTGGAGGCACATGCCACCGCCACGGTCCAGACAGAGACAACGGTGGGGCAGAGACAGGGTGGTTTTGAGTCTGCTTTTGAGTCGACTCAAAAGAGTGAGTAGCCTTGGAGGCACATGCCACCGCCACGGTCCAGACAGAAACAACGGTGGGGCCGAGACAGGGTGGGGTTGTGGTGGGGGAAAGACGGCAGTTTTACCCATTGCCCTCCTCCCATGCCATCCTCCCATCCCATCACCTGCCTCCCTCCTCCCATCCCATCACCTGCCTCCCTCCTCCCATCCCATCACCTGCCTCCCTCCTCCCATCCCATCACCTGCCTCCCTCCTCCCATTCCCTAGCACCCACCCACTTTACCTAACTCCCCACCCTGCCCCTCCCCCTCCCCTCCCCTCCCTCACCTACACGACGGGCACTCTGGTTGGACCCCAAGGCTCTGGTCTTGGCCTTTCTCTACCCTTACCCTCCCCCCGTTCTCCCCATTTCCCTTATTCCCTGATCCCCCTCCCGCCACCTCACCTCCACGATAGCACTCTGGTTGAACCCCACGGATCTGAGCTTGGCCCTTCTTTGACCTCTCCCTCCCCCACTCCACATCCCCACCCTCACCCTCTGTCCCCTCTCCAGCCACCCTCTCACCTCCACAATGCAACTCTGGTTGGACCCCACGGCTCTGGGCTTGGCGCGGGCAACAGTGCCAGTCTTGGCCCTTATTCCCTACCTCCCTCCCCCCATTCCTCATTCCCCCTCACCCCCCCCGCCCTCTCACCTCCACAATGGCACTCTGGTTGGACCCCACGGCTCTGGGCTTGGCCTTTCTCCACCCATCACTTACCTCCCTCCCCTTCCCTACCCCCTCCCTCCCCTTCCCCCCCCCCTCCCTCCCCTTCCCTACCCCCTCCCTCCCTTCTCACCTCCACAATGCAACTCTGGTTGGACCCCACGGCTCTGGGCTTGGCGCGGGCAACAGCACCAGTCTTGGCGTCGAGAATGGCTGTCAGGGCAGCGATGCGACACGCCTCCTTGGCTGCATGCGCGTGCAGAATGGCCTGGAGGGAGAGGGGTGAGAGGGGTGAGAGGGGAAAGGGCGGGCGGGAGGCACATGAAACGTACATCGTTCCTTCCGCCTCTCACGTGTCGTGAATGGCTGTGAGAGCTGCGATGCGACACGCCTTTCTGGTTGATGTGCACGCAGAATGGCCTGATGCAATGAGGGGACACGCCTTTTTGGTTACATGAGAACTCTCATGAGTGATTTTCTTTCTGCCTCTCCCCTGTCGTGAATGACTGTGAGAGCTGCGATGCAACACGCCTTTCTAGTTGATGTGCATGCAGAACGGCCTGATGCAATGAGGGGAAGAGGAGGCAGGGAGAGGGAAAGTGAGAATGGAACAGTTGGACTTTACAGCTCTACGCGTGACAGAAAAAGTGATGGGAATGCGGACTGCAGCCACTCACATTGCTCCACTCGCACTCACATTGGTGCCTCTCAGCAGAGGGATCTTGAGGTCGAGCGTGAGAAGGCGGGTCTGTTTTTTAGTCGACTCTAACAGAATGAGCAGAGGGATCTTGAGGCGAAGAGTGAGAAGGCGCACCTCCACTCTGGTGGTGACCGGAATGGGGACTGCAAGCCACGCCCCTCACTCACAACAAGCCCCTACCCCACAGCCACTCACATTTCTCCACTCGCACGCACATTGGTGCCTCTCAGCAGAGGGATTTTGAGGTCGAGCGTGAGAAGGCGGGCCTCCACTCTTGTGGCGATTGGGATGTGGTAGTCCGGAGAAACAAGTGTGTTAGTCCCTTACCCAATCCACAGCCACTCACATTGCTCCACTTGCACTCACGTTTGTGCCCCTGAGCAATGGAATCTTGAGGTCGAGCGTGAGAAGGCGCGCCTCCACCCTTGTAGCGACTGGGATGGGGAAGTCCGGGTGGCACAACACGCCACCTGGCAGCAGCTGATTGGCCTCCACGCCCTGAAGTCCCACGTCCACGCTCTCCCCCGCCCATGCTGCTGCCACCGGTGACTCGTCCCGCTCTAGGGCTTTAACAGATGCCTGGAAGGAGCCTGGCATTACCAGGACCTGCGGGTGAAGAGGGAAGGGGGAAATGATGATGAGTCTCACAAATACAGCCTCCACACCCTGAAGTCCCACCTCCGCACACTCCCCCGCCCATGCTGCTGCCACCGGTGACTCGTCCCGCTCTAGGGCCTTCACAAAAACAGCGAGGGGGGAATGATGATGAGTCACACAAATACAGCCTCCACGCCCTGGAGATGAGAAGGCGAGCATCCAAGTGATTGCCTTTCACCCCCAGCAACCCGCCCCACATCCATCTCTCCCCTTGGCACCGAATCAAACAGCAGAAGAAGAACAAAACCCAGCCCGCTAAATGTTACTTTTGAGACGTCTCAAAAGTACTCTTTTTACACGTGGCTTCTCTCTTTCTGGTTCCAGAACAAGAACAAAACCCAGCCCGCTAAAGGTTTTTCTTAAGCTGCAGCTCGCCCAGCCCTCATGGCTGAAGGTACTTGGGGTCTCTCACCTTGGCACCGAATCAAACCGCTCTGGATCGATTCTCTCACATTGATACCGTACCACACTGTTCTGCATCCCTTCTCTCACCTTGACACCGAATCAAACCGCTCCGGATCGATTCTCTCACCTTGATACCGTACCACACTGTTCTGCATCCCTTGCTGCTACTGACTCGCATAACTCCGCACTCCATATTCCCTGCCACGCCTGCCTGCCCCAGCCTCCTCGATTGAAGCACCTCATTCCATCCTGCTAGGCCATATGAGGCACATAATCACACTCCGTCAGAACCCTCATCCAGTGCTCCCGTTAGCACCGCATCATACCGCTCTGCATCCCATCACTCACCTTGGTACCGGCTCGCATGGCTCCGCACTCCACCTTCCCCGCCACGCCTGCCTGCCCCAGCCCCCTCGTTTTTAGCACTTCATCTTACCTGGCGCCAAGACTGCTCATCCCAGATCTCACACTTGTACTGTACCACATCTTACCTCTCTGCATCGCTTTCCTCACCTTGGTACCGGGTCGCATCGCCCCGCACTCCACCTTCCCAGCCACGCCTGCCTGCCCCAGCCCCCTCGTTTTGAGCACTTCGGCTATCGCCAGGCGCAGCGGGCGGTTGAGAGCGCGGGGAGGGGGGGAGAAGGAGTCAACAGCTTCTAGGAGAGTGGGACCTGTGTACCTGCATACAGAGAGAGAAGGGAGGAAAGGAGGGCCGTTTTGAGCACTTCGGCTATCGCCAGGCGCAGTGGGCGGTTGAGAGCGCGGGGAGGGGGAGAGAAGGAGTCAACAGCTTCTAGAAGGGTTGGGCCTGTATACCTGTGTAAGAGGAAGTAGGGGGGAGGTGGGGGTGTATGAGAGAAATGGAATTAAGGAGGAATGAATGGCTTTCAGGCAGGTTGGCTTTCAGGCAGGTTGGCTTTCAGGCAGGTTGGACCCGAGTACCTGTGGACAGGTGTGTGGGTGATCGAGGAGACAGAGGAGAAGCAGAGATGGAAGGCCATCGAAAGGGTCCTCCCCTGGAGCCCACTTAAACAGACAAAAATACAAGCAAATACAAGCCGCTGCAAGCAGACCAAATTACCTCAAGATAACATGCTTCCTCGCCTCGCCACTTCTTCTCACAGTGACTTGAGCCGATCGTCAGTCGGGGGGCTAAAGATTCTCCCCTTGGAGCCCGCTCAGCGGCACGCTTAAGATTGAGGTGCGGTGAAGTGCATTGCACCCCCCTTGGAGCCCGCTCAGCGGCATGCACTTCACCGCACCTCAATCCCCTTCCCTCCTGGAACTGCATGCTTTCTCACCACTGGTTCAGCTCATCACTCAATCTCTCACCACTGGTTCAGCTCATCACTCAATCTCTCACCACTGGTTCAGCTCATCACTCAATCTCTCACCACTGGTTCAGCTCATCACTCAATCTCTCACCACTGGTTCAGCTCATCACTCAATCTCTCACCACTGGTTCAGCTCATCACTCAATCTCTCACCACCTCTCAGCATATCACTCCATTTCTCACCATTTCTTCACCCGATCGTCTGTAGGAGCCGAGTCTAGATTCTCCCCCTGCAGCCCACTCAGAGGCACCCACCGCACTCCACCGTCCCGGAACCCGTACTGCTATGTAAGAAACGGCCCCAGCACGCCTCTGATCCGCTCAAACCCTGCAGCGTCCATCTTGTTCACCACCCCGCACACCTGCTCCACCCCCACCCCAGGCTCCTGGCCATCTCTCCATTGTAAGAGCTGTCAACTCACCATGTCTTCAGCCGGTCGTCAGTTGGAGGGCTGTCCAGATTCTCCCCTTGCAGCCCACTCAGCGGCACCCACCGCACTCCACCTTCCCGGAACCCACACTGCCTTGTAAGAAACGGTCCCAGCACGCCTCTGATCCGCTCAAACTCGCCCTGCTCGAACCCTGCAGCGTCCATCTTGTTCACCACCACGCACAGCTGCTCCACCCCCAGGCTCCTGGCTATCTGCGCGTGCTCCTTGCTCTGCCCCACGTCCTCGCCCCCTTGCCCCCCCCCCATGCCCGCTTCAAAGGCGCCTGGTGTGGCGTCGATTACTAGAAGGGCTGCATCAGCCTGGGGAAGAAACAGGGGAGAGACAGGAGAAATAGGGGAGACAGGAGAGAGGGAGAGTCCATCTTATTCACCACCACGCACAGCTGCTCCACCCCCAGGCTCCTGGCTATCTGCGCGTGCTCCTTGCTCTGCCCCACGTCCTCGCCCCCTTGCCCCCCTCCCATACCCGCTTCAAAGGCGCCTGGTGTGGCGTCTATTACTAGAAGGGCTGCATCAGCCTGGGGTAGGGAGAAAGGGAGAGGGGGAGATTTTTGAGGCGCCTCAAAAGGAGGTACAGGAGAGGCAGAAAAGAGAGAGAAGTGAAGTGCATGCAAGCAGCCAACACATGTGCAGCCAACACATGCCAACACATGTGCAGCCAACACATGGCAACACATGTGCAGCCAACACATGCCAACACATGTGCAGCCAACACATGCCAACACATGTGCTCGACTCCTCGCCCCCCTGCCCTCCCCCCATTCCCGCCTCGAACGCCCCTGGCGTGGCGTCGATTACAAAAAGGGCAGCATCAAATCAGCCTGGGATAAGGAGGGGAGAGAGCGTGGGGATGCGGCATAGTAATACATAATAGACCAGTGGGGTGCGGGAACAGCAAGCAAGGTGACTTTTGAGTCGACTCAGAAGGCGCCTGGGATACGGAGGGGAGAGAGCGTGTGGATGCGAGATAGTCATATATAATAGACCAGTGGGGTGCGGGAACAGCAAGCAGACAACCCCTCCTCCCGTCTGCCCATAGCCGCCTCCAACGCGCCTGGCGTGGCGTCTATCACTAGAAAGGCTGCGTCGGTTTGGTGTGAGATGGAGGGAGGAAGAGATAGGAGTGACAGGGAAGAGTTAGGGGGCAGAGACGAGCAAGAGGTGAGGTGTATGCGAGCAGCCGACTCACGTCCTCATGTGAGGTGAGGTGC